AGCTAGCTGGAATCTCCAGTGTATTCGGACACCTTTTTGAGTACCGTAATAGTAAGTAAATTATCAGAATATAAAAATTATTATTACTAATTCATTACCTGTTTTTCAACAGACCACTTTTACTAATCATTAATCATTTTTTATCCTATTTCATATTTCCTCTCTCATTTATGCGAATTTCCTCTGTACTTATCTCTGGTCTGACTGCATTGCATCACTTAATCTGAAACCATGTTATGCTCCGGACTTACAACGGTTCTCGTTTTCCTAGTAATTACAGTGGAAATAGCAAATTACCATGGTGGAAATTGTAATTCCCAATCATATATATTTTTTTATAATTTTAACCAGAATTACGGTGGTCAGATTCTATAATTCTAAAATTTTTTTAGAATCAAATTTGTAACTTTGTTTTATTGTATATCTTTATTTTTGTAACGCTCGTTAAAATCGTTACTTAAGAATCATAGGTGAGTGATTATCTGGAAACGAAAAAATCAAATTTATAATAGATAACGATAGTAAGTCTATTGTAATTTACAAAAAAATGACTGCATATTAACATTATAATAAAATGAGATATCTAATCATATATATAATAATGTTAGGGCCATTAATTTAAAGGGACCATTAAAATAAATAATAATAGACTATTAAGAAAAAAAAAAAGAGAATACGTTGAATAATCAGTCTTCAGCGATAAAATATTTATCATTATTTCCTTTTGCCACAGTTTTCAATAGTTTCACTTGATTAGCCACATCCTTTAAAGCGCCAAGAACAATTCCATTCCCTTTCACAAATCCGTATATGTGATATTTAATTCCTACTTCTTCACAAAATTCTTTAACCAAGGGCTGACAAGACCTCAAATTATGCCTTGGAATACGTGGGAACAAATGATGAATAGTTTGAAATTGTAATCCACCATGAAACCAATCCATCCACCAAGGACAATCAACATCCATTGTTGTTCTACACATCCTGCGTGGAAAAGATTCTAACGGACCATAATCAGCAGTTGACATACCAAAGTGTGAAAGAGTGATTTGCACGTGTAAGATCATTGTTACCATATGAGAAATTAGAACGTAGAGAATTATGATAAAAGAAGAAGGGAGGTAAGAGAGTAGATAGGAAAACCAACACCAAAATAAAATCATTGAGGATATTTCTAAATTTCTAAACATTAGATTCTTTTCACTAGATAAATGAATTATTGATGAAGCATAAAGATTAAATCTGCCAAAACACATTATAATATAATATAAATAGTGTTGGTAAGACACAAAATATCTAGCGAAAGCGTCAAAATAAAGAGTTCTTTTATAATAAGTCGAATAAAGGTTTTTGAAAAGTTTGGTTGTTATAGCGAAAAATGGTAAATGTTGAATGTCAGGATCATGTTCGGGATGGTTAGTGATGATATGATGAACGTAATGATTTTTTTTCCACCATCCAATACTTAATCCTCCTAGAAAATCAGCTATGAATATTCCAATAAGATAATCCACATATAGATTGTGAGTGATTCCACTATGCCCCGCATCATGGGCAGTAAATGCTAATTGATGCCAAAACATACCGAGACATATAGAACTTATGATATAATGAAACGTTGTTGTACCGTATATTACAAGGTACCAAGCTGTTGTTATTAGAATAATGTATCGAACTGTTTCATATGCATAGTTCCAATAATTGCAATCGTACAGCCTACGTTCTTTGATTTTTGATTCCAATCGTCGAAATGCCATTGATATTGACTTTTCTTTAGCCACTGTTAATAATAATTCTGGCTCGTTTGTTGATGTTTGTGAGTGGATCATGTTTTCTTCCGAGTCTCCAAAGTCATATTCTCCAATATAAAAATTATGGATTTTATTATTAATGACATAATCAGGATGGAAAACATTGATTGCATCTGTAGCATCTTTGCCAATCATATTAATAATTGCAAGTTCACCACCTGGATGATACTTTATCCATTTATTAAGTTTATAAACTTTATTGTTGTATATTATTAGCATTTGTCCATTTCGAACGCGTTGTTCAACCTCTCGTTTTGTAAGGTAATTTAGTTGAGCACTTTTGACTTCAACAGACGGCCGCGTCATTTCATTACTCAAAATTGAGACGAGAGCATAACAATGTTAATATTTGTAATAAGTTAATTTCTACTTTTTACATGAAAAGAAAGAAAAAAAAAAGCCACATTCCATATATTTATATGAATGCTATGTGTGGCTCAGAACACAAAAATAATCTAGATCCGTGAGGCATAGAATCTTATGATTTATCTTTATTTGGTATTCCTATCGCTACTAAATGGCTTGGGTCCATCGAGTACAGTATGGGATGATCATTGTGTGTAGCATGACTGGATTTAAGTTATCATCTTTCACTGTGTATATTTTCTTATTTATGTTTAACGCCCACTCCGTACGTATCTAACACTTTATCTAACACTTAATCTAAAGGTCACAAGTTTTTTAAATTGGATCGTTAAGTCAGATCGACATCTTTCTTCCAAAGATAGTTACATCTATGTCGATTGTGTTGAATTATCGATCAAATTTATCGCGAGTTTGGAAATGATTTTCTAATTGCTAATTACGATTTTGTTCGTAATTTTTAATCCAAAGAACCAGAAAGATAGATATCTGCTTGGCAAAACTCAACGGGTTCAAAGTTCAGTAATATCAGATATAGCATACATAATCAGGCGTAACATGTAAACAAAATTATACTATTTTACAGCAATTTCCAATCTTTCAGATCGGAATTCATCGGCATGAAGTAATTAACTACTTTGATTTGTCCAATGAGCTGAATCGATCACTAGATCCCGAAATATTTTAATTTGAAAAAAAAAATAAAAAATGTTAAGGGGTATTATAACGAATTGTGATATCGTTATCAGAATAACAAATCTTCTTGATAAAGATAAATCGAATACGTATTATTGGTTTTTTATTATATATTTTAATAAATATCTTGTAACCCAGTGATTATAATTGAGTATTATTTATTAATTATATTAATCAATATTTTTTAATAAGAATTGATATAAGATTGTTTAATTTGGTTTATAAAATTATATAGTAAAATATTTTTTATTTTTATTTTTTTGTATTTATAACACTGTGTTATATAACACCTTACTATATATCAGAAACGTACTAAGTAAATGGGTGTAGGTACTCTAAGTAAAAATGTTAGAACTGAAATCGGAACCTATTGGAACCTTATATCTAATATATATTGTTTAATAAAAAACCTCTATAAAACCTCTTTTTGAATCCTAACCCTAATTAAAACTATATAGGTGTTATATAACGTGGGTGTTATAAATATATTATTTTTTATTTTTTTTAATCAAAGCTAGCTTTTTTGGTTAATTTTTATTTTTATTTTTTTTTATTTTTTTTATTTTTTTTTTAACTTAGTAATTATGCTATGAGATCTTTATTAGACTATATAAAATTTATGAATTGGTTTTCATAACCTGACTGGGTTATAAAGGCTAAATTGTGAAATTTAAATTTTATATCTTAATAAAATAAAATTTTATATGCTGGGTTATAAAAGCTAGATTGGAACTCTTTTTGCTGATCATCAAAACACAAATTTTCAGAAAAACATAATTTACAAAAACTTCAAGAAACACACAAAAGCTACTAGGAAACTAAACTTAAAGCTCTAAGAAAAGAGAAAGAGGACTACAAAAAACACTCAGTCTTTTAGAGACTTGAGTTAGAAGAAACAGAAGTAACAAAGAAATAGAAGAAGTCGTGAAATATCATCAGTATTTTTTTGTATTTTGTGAAAAATTGGGGAATCAGCCTTGACTCTGAATCACAGATCTGTTTTGGTAATACAAGAATCACAACATATAATAAAAAATAAACAAAGAAAACATGACAAAAATCACATGATAAAAACAAACATAAGCAAAAAAAGTAAACAACCATAGCAAATAACAACAACAATAACAAACAACAACTGCAGAAAAGCAACATGTCACTGTTTCACGTGAAGCAAACAGCAAAAGAATAGGCTACAAGAAGAGCCACTAATATAGTAGAAGGTATAATAACAGTATTCGACGCTATCCAGGAAATAACAACAAAAATAGTTGATGAAGTAATAAACACAACAGTTGAAGAAATGATGCCAGAGTATATTGGACAAAAACTTATTACAAAAGAAGAAGCCAAAATACAAAAAGAAGAACTTTATGAAGAACTACAACAATATAAACATGGTAAACTAAAGTATACAGAGCTTGCACTTATGGAAAGAAACAGTGAGGCTTATTATGAAGCAATACAAAATAGAGAAGACCTACTGCAGAATATATTAAAAGAAGAAATAGTCAGTATTATGATGCAATTAAGAATAGCAAACAGGATTAGACAGATATTAAAAGATAGGAAAAAAACAAGTTGCTGAAGTAAGATCGAAAATAGACTCAGGTTGAAGCAAGAGACTTTAAGAGTAAAGAAGAAACTGACAAAGACAGCATAACGAAGAAGTCCTGAAATCTTTAGTACAACAATTTGAAGATTTAATCAAGACTATCGCAACAAATTAGCTTGAGGAAAAAAAGAAAATTTAAGAAACAAGAAAAAGAAAGATGCAAGCTTTGCAAAGAGAAAAACAAGCTACCGAAATAAAGTCGAAGTTAGAGTCAAATTGGAGCAAGAGATTTCAAAAACAAAGAGAAATTCAGCAAAAGCAAAACAACAAATCAGCATTAAAAACTCTGGCTATAAACTTCAAAGAATCTATTGAGAAGATACAAATCATATAAAAAGAAAAACAAGCGGCTAATATAAAGTCAAAATTAGAAGCAGACTAGAGCAAGAGACTTCAAAAACAAAGAAAAATTTGACAAAAGCAAAATAACAAAATAGAATTAAAAACTCTAGTTGTAAATTTCAAAGTATTAGCCAAGCTAGAGTTAGCAAGACAAGAGAGAAAAAAAAAAAAAGGCCAAAGAAAGAAAAGAAAAGAAAGCTAGGGTACAAAAGATTGATGGCTTTATTAAAGTAAAAACCCTAGATATACTCCAAGAAGATTCAAGACCAAAGGCCGAATTAACAAATCCAACAGAGTGGTTGATTGAAGTAATATATCAATTAAGCATTATAAACATACAGAATAATAGGAAAGTATGGAAAAGCATGACAGAACTTCTTTTTAATTGGCTATTATGTCAGATAATCTTTATCAAATATATTGGTTGATTAAATATTAATAATGATACCAGTATTCAACCTATATTATGTAAACACATTAAAGGGCATATTTAATAGCTACTATCGTTATAGTTAAAATTATAATATGTAATATGATGTTCTAAAATTATTGATCATTAAAAACATTAAATACATTATTATCATCCAACGTTATAATCTTTAATATTAACAATGTATTTTATTTTTTTTAACACAAATACAATTTTTCAAACATTAATACAAATATTATATATTCTATAGATTCTATTGTTACAGTTAAGGCTATACAAACTTAATAAATCAGTTCTCATAACATAAAATTTTTGAAAGTGACTTAGCAACCCGGCTTTTAATTTATTTTCAAAAAATTATATATAAAATTTTTTAGAAAAACTTATTCAGATAGTAAATATACTTAAAAATTTTTTTAAAATTTTGTAAAATTTGACTAGCTGAGTTATGAGAACTGATTTAATAAGTTTGTATAGCCTAATATAACCTGTACCCATTTTTTTTATATTATACAATACATATTTTCGTATATTCATATCCACAAACTACAACTAATAATGCCAATGCTTCTGATTGTATGCATCTCTTATAACTATTATGAACAATCTAAATATTTATAAATAAGAGTTTATAAGTATAGATAAATAAAATAAAAATTTGCAAATATTGTATTAACTGTTTAACAGTCATATAACTGTATATTCACCCGTAGTACATTTGTATATACATTTATACATTTATACTCATGTCATATGAAAGTTTCTTAGATTGTGAGATGTGTTAGATGTTTTTGAGCAAACCGTTTACCTTGCAGCTGTATAACATATTGGTAAAGTTTTGTGAAAATTAGATGATTTTTTGATGAGCAGTCATATGATATACCCATATTTCATATGTTTTTGATATGTAAAATCTTGTATAATATTGATGCATAAATCGATCTTCTGTCATGCTATATAGAAATTGAAAGAGAAAAATCTGTTTATAAAATAGATATAGTTTTTGAAGATACAAAGAACTACTGATATGAATTGGATTCAAGATATATCAGTATATAGACAGAAAGGAACCAAGAACTGGAAAAAAAAGAAAAAGGATATGTTAATAAAGATAGTAAAAAAGGTCTTTGTAGAAATCTTTGAAAACCAAAGTATGTGGAATGAAATACAAGAAGTTTTTTTAAGAAAAAGACTAAGGCCTAGGGAAAAAAGAAAAAGAAGAAAGTAAAAAAGAAGAAAAAAGAAGATCTACAAACCCAATGCAAGAAAGAATTAGAATCTGAGCAGACTATCCATAACTCTGAAGTAAAAAGACCAAAAGAAGGCCCAAGACATTTTGAAGAAAAAAAAGCTTACAGAAGAATATATCAAGGAAGATACAGTAGAACAAGCTCTTAAAAAGTAAAAGAGCACCTTGATGTTATAAAGCAAGAAAAAAAAGTCATTGAAAAGAGTATAAGAAGACTCTTGAGAGCCAGTCTGATTACTAAAAAAGATAAATTTAATTAGAAGAAGAGAAGAAGAAAACATAAATACAATTGAAAGAATTCTGGCAATTTTTCTTTGTTGAAAGATAAAATAGAATTTCTTGTTAGAAAAAAATTAGATTTAGTTTGTTGCTATAAAAAAAAATAGCTTAGTAAGAAAAAATTGTCAATTAGATATAGTCGAAAATTCTTTCGTTTCAAAACCATCTTATTTTGGTTTTACCAGTTAGCTTGGTGCAGCCCTCTAGTACAGACAAGTACTTTAACTGGTGAGGCAGACCACACTTGGGCACCCTTAGAGAAAGCTAAGTGATGTCGAATCTGTAGTTTAGATAGTATAGGATATAAATATTCTGTTTTGATCTAATAAAGATAC